CATACTTATAATGAAACATTTATTTAGAAACGTCAAACTTTCATTTAATTTAGATAAATTTTGGTGATAGACACTAAGAGTCCGAATACTTATGGCACTGACTGTATAATATAGCTTTTACATCGTATTACATATTATATTTGCTGTGCGACGTAACGAGACAGTTACAATTGTGCCTTCGTTATGATTACAGGCATATGTGCAAATATTTAAGTATAAGTAATTATTCTAATAAATAAGGTGATAAATATTATAGTGAAGTTATTTTTAACTGGCCCCACTATAACTCGGGTACCTCGGGATCGCTATATCCGTACTCAAGCTACAATCAAACATAGTTACAGCCTCTGAGGGCCTCTTCGAGTTTGATATAGGTCGTGTGGTAAATAAACTTTTAACACATTCACGTGATTCATTCTTGCAATTTTCGTTTAAACTACTTTCCAACTTCTGACAAACGCGCGGTGTAATTTAAGATTGGACTCGGTGTCCATTTTCTGTGTTGAGTACGTTTAGAGGTCGCGGAACAATCCGAGTCGAAAGTATGGGTAGCCCGAGCTGGACAGGAAATAAGATCACAATGGTCCTCTTCGGTTAAGACAGTATTACATGGCGGTACAACGGTGTAACGAGGATAAGCTCCTAAAAGCGGCAGTCTATGTTCGCGCGGCCAATCGTTGTGTACATTGATCCCCATTTCTCTGTGCTTCATGCTCCGCGAAGCGTCCTGCACACGTTTCAAAGGATTTTTGTCGACAACACCTCGACTGAAATCCATTCAGGATTTAGGCCTCGGATAACAATAGCTACCACACATACATTGTTTAGATAGATCTGAACACTGTCTGCATTAAAATCTTGTTTGGAAAAAAATTACAACGCTAAATATGTAAATATGTTGCGTATAAGGCGCTTCATCATGAGTCTCTTGACATTTTCTGGATCTACGAGTAGTGCAATTTTTGTTTAAATGAAAGTTTAACGTAGACGGGCTTGTGATATATGAAGTATGTATTCATTGACGAAGAACAGAGACATGTGGAACGTCATGTCCGCTTTCCAATCGAACAGAAATCCAGGAAACGACGTTTGCGACTCGCTATAGTCACCTACCCTCGCCAGTGTCGTTGCTCTCGCAACCCTCCATTAACCCTTCCATGCTATACGTAATATCTTGGGAGGTTAACAGGTCAAATGGTAGGGGTCCTGCTTCTATATAAAAATACGCTTAACTAATTAAACAAGTAACCCCAGCTACCTCGGGATGGATCATGGATAACTAGAATAGCTCGCAAGAATATCATTATATTGGAACCTTCCCATGGAAAGATGAGGCAGATAAAACAGGGAAGCTAAAGTGGCAATTGAAAAGTTCTCTTTTTGGAGAACTGATCCAACAAGACTCGTACAAAAAACGATTGAGGCTGAGCATGGTAATCTATCCTCGTTGGGGACATTGCACTCGCATCCCTTCGTCAACTTCTTCTTCCTACATATAATGTATTCGTGGGTTATTGACAGGTCAAATGGTAGGGGTCAATTTATATAAAAATACACTTAACCCTTTCAGACCTGAATTTCTTTTTCCTCGTACTAATGTAGTTTAGTAAAGAAATCCTAATAGTCCAGTTTTCCAGGAAAACTGATCTTTCTTCATGTGCACAAATACGGACATTTGTCTTAAACGATAGTGATGGTAATTTTTAAATTTTGTGTCTTCAATTGTGAACGTTAGGTCTGAAAGGGTTAAGTAGCTCAACACTTGGCACCAACTAACCCAGGAAAAATGATTCAGGCGCTAGTACAACATAAGAATGAACATTTGAAGAAGAAGTCAAATAGTATGGGTCAATTTGTATTAATATATACGTAGGTAGCTCAACATTTTAATCCTAACTAACCCAGGAAAAATTATTCAGGCATTGGTAGAACCTAAGAATGAAAGAGTTTGAAGAAGAAGTCCGTCAGGAATTCTAGAAACACCAATTGAGACCGAACGCAATAACCTCCCCTCGTTGTTGCTTCCACATCCCTCCGTCGATTCTTTCCTGCAATAGGTGGTATCATAGTGGCAGGAGAGGGTAGGGAGGGACAGGTCAAGCGGTAGGTTTGCCGATTCTCGTGTGTACGTCCCGCGGTACCTACGATACATCATTTTCGGCTGGGATGATCTTACGGTAGATTTACCATTTGTACAGTTTATGGGCGTCGGTCTGGGCCATAAACTTGGTTGGCAATGACGGCAACGCGGGTCGCCGTCGAGTAAGTTGGGTAAGCTCGACCGAAGCCGGGATACCACGGCCACGAGGAGGAAGAGAAGGGAAGAACGGGACGCACGGAGGGAAATCTCGTGGCTGGAGGAACCTTACGGGGGTGGAAGTAGTTGGGGATTCTGCGGAGGCAATAATCGTGTCCCCCAGGTCGGTACCGACGAAAGTGCCGTCGATGTATTGCTCCCTGCTAACCTCCCTGCATGTCACGTCGAGCACCATTCCTCCAAACAGACGCTCTGGAGAATCTTGTTTTTCGCCTAAAAATTGGTATACGAGTTCCTGGCCACGCTGGCAATGAAATTACGGTATCTTGAAACTGCTATGTGATCGTTTACTCGAGTCGCCTTAGAATCGTATGGCATCGACAGTAGACAAGAGCGAACCTGTTAATTAATTGCTGTCATTATATTACCATTTAACTCTTTGACGCACACGATTATAAAATAAGAATAAAATTCAAGCTACACAGAAGAATAGTGTCAACAACTTGTAACGCGTTTCGACTTGTACACATTTCTGATTCCACTTATTTTACTTTCAGCGTTAGTTCATATAGTATTGCCACACGAATGAAAAACTTTAAATAAAATAGTAAAGCTAACCCAAAGTGGGATAGTTTCTAATCCACCGAACTTCAAGGAGTTGATAAACGTTTGTGTTTCTACTTATTATAAGTTAAAACAGAAATAGTCACTCTTTAACTCGTTGGCAAAATGTTTTAGTCATAAAGTAGTTCAGTGGTAAAAAGGTTTAATTCCAATCTACTTCAATGAAAAAAAAACACTCAGAAACCAAAATGCTTAATTATCACGACTACACTACTCACCGATATTCACAGCAACTCGTGAAGAACACTTCCCTCGTGTCACTATGAATCTACCATTCGACATTTCTAACACGGAAATTTTCCTTCTTTCAAAGAAGATCCTTCTAAAAAAATTGGAAACTGCTACGCCACAAAACCTAACTTATCCATCAACCAACAGACGGGAATTGACGTTCAAATAGAAATTGATTCCCACAGTGGGACAAAGCGTCGCTAATCGGTGACGCGTATTTTCGCATAATCGCGCCGTTTCGTCTGTCATACAATTGCACGGCACCGATTACGAAGGCTTATTATCGCATGCACGTGCGCGCTAAAGAATCGCGACGATCGTTATCGCGGAGGTAAACAATCCACCGAAAGCGCAATTATCGGAATGTGCTCATTTCCCAGGAGGAGAAATGCGAGAGCGTAACGACGCGTGCAAATTCGATCCCGTCGCGGGGCTTAATGCGAATCGGATCATCGTCGATTCATCGCGGTACGCGGCAAATCCTTTTTTGCGTGGTGTCACTCGTCGGGTATACTCCATTTCCAGGATTTTCGCAACAGAAACGAACGACTGGTTGTATATAGAGACTCGTACGGCTGGGAAAATTCGGGGATTCCCTCTGTTACGGAATCTATTTGATAAGAGTGATGGATTCGCACTTATGACAGATTAGTTTTATCCAGATTTATCAAGAAAGTAAAATTAGGGGAATATTTTGTGCTTACAAAATTTGCCATTTGTCGTTGTTTTGTACGAGCAGTCTTCGCGAGTACTACCGAAGGGATTACGCGTGACTACACACTTCGGTATAATAATTAGAAGCTGAGTTTTCCACACGATGTGTTCTCTTCAGAGGTTCGCTTTAGTCTCTCGAAGGGTATAGTTCGTTGCTCAGGAGTTGGCGAAGCAGTTTCATTGGCTGTTGCGTAACGACGACACCTTTACTTACACGCATTTTCGTTATTGGCTAAATCCGTTACATCTATATGTACATATTTATAATGAAAAATTCATTTGGTAATACCAAACCATTATTTAATTTAGTCAAAGTTCTGCAATAGGTATAAATGGTACGAATATTTGTAGGATTGACTGCAAATGCTCTTTACCTTTCTTTAGTATTATTTTGTTTGATGCATTTCCAGTGCCTTCGTCTTATCCTGTTTATCCCTTATTCTCCCACCCCTTGCCCCATCTTTCCTCCCAATTTCTCTTTTTCCACGTCCAATTTAATGGCATCACCATCCCGCGCCGTATTTCATCCTTCTCCCGGGTCCAATCATCCATTCTCCGTGTCCTAAATCCCTTTTGCGTCAATGTTCGCAAATTACTCTCTCATCCTCTCCTTTTAGCCCACCTTCATCCTCCCTCTCCCCCCGGCCCGTTCACCTCTTTCGACATTTTCTACCTCGAATCCTCTTTTTCTGCCGCCTCCGTCCTTCACCTCTTTTCTCTCGTGTGGCCACCCAATTCCTCTTGGCCTCTCCTCTCGCGTTCTATTTGTCTCGTCTGCATCTTTCTCCCTCTTTCTCACTTCGCCAACGTCTCTCCACCAGTCTCTTTCTCTCTGTCTCTCTCTCTCTCTCTCTCTCTGTGGATCAGAAGCCGAATGGAAATTAAATGCGCAGTCGGCCGTTACGCCGATTGATTTGTATTCTCCGATCTGCTGGGAACGGCGAGGAAGTGTGCTAAACTGCGGGATTTATGTTCTCTCCTAATTGCGTTGCTCCCCATCCCCCAGCCCTCAGCCACCCCTGGCCGTCGTTGCTTCATCGCCTTCCAGCCAATGCGTGGCCTCTGTCTTTCCGGGTGCAGCCTTTACGAGATTGCTTTCGCGTTTCATCGAACGTTTCATCGTTGGATAGACGTCTGACGATTGCCTTGTACCATATTTCGGTGAAGAAGTGCGTCATTCGGTCACGATGATGGACGAGGACTCGTTAGGACTGGCTTGGAAACTATGCGCACGACAGTCCTTGTTCCAAACTATGTGGAAGGTGTTCTAAAATTATAATATCGGTAATATAATTCGAGATGTCAGATAGGTGCAAAATAATAAAAAGGGAAATGTATTCGAATCGATATGGACTTCACCCTTTCAGACCTGAATTATTTCTTTTCTCGTACTAATGGAATTTAATTTTTAGGGCAAATTGGAACCAAAATTAGTATGGAAAAAATAGAAAAAAAATCATTACAGTGTAGTTTTTGAGGAAAACTGGCCTTTGTTCGTGTGCGTAAATATGGACATTCGCCCTAAACGATAGTGTCGGTTTTGTGTGTGGTAATTTTGTGTCCTCAATTGTGGAGCCAGGTCTGAAAGGGTTGATAATTTAAAGGAAAACCAATCAAATGGAAATGGCACACAGTTTATCCCTTCCTTTTTTTTTTTTACTTTAAATCTAATACATTTTTCACATATAAAACATTCCACTCGTTCGAAAATCATTACTTTCCTCAATAGAGAGTCTTATATCTCTTTCTATGATCCATACATGTATCGCAAACTCCCCTTGCCAGGCCCATAGACTAACGATTCTTTTTTAATTCACTTCCACGAACCTACGCGTATTATTTTTAATCATAGAACATATTTTTAGTTTCCTCGCATCGTGCAGTTAAGTCCACCATCCGTGACGAGTTAGGGTTCGTCGCGTCAAACTTCGTGAAACAAACTTCCCCAAACGATAGGCGACACTTTATCACACTTCGTTTTATTGGCGGAGAAAGAGCATCGAAACAGACGTTTTCATGTTTCTCGTGCGAATGACTGGGATCGAATTTACGTTGGTCACGCGACTGTGATGAAATTATTTTGTATCGTTGCACATCGACAAGCGAGTGACAGTTCACGGTGAGATTCACGATGGAAACGTCGATCGGCGCCGCTGAGCGTTTAATTATCAGATTGATAGACTGACTCGATTATCGCATGCTCGATGATTTTCTCCCCTGCAGGGCGATAATCGTTCATGTAATGTAATAACAGGGGAAAAAATCAGGCGGAAGCGCGCAAATCAACCCCCGAAGAAACATCATACACTCCCGTGTATTAATAACAGCGTACGTATGATAACGCGACGATGGGACCGGTCGTTGAATGGAACTCATTATCATAGATAACTCGAACTCCCCCTGTATCGTAAACCCCCTTAGCTATATATGTACGAGAACATCCCTCGACCCTTTTCTCCTCGGTCTACTTAACCTGATGAATTTATATAAACAGTTACTCTTATGATGCATCTATACTGTTCCTACGCGAGGAGAATGAACTTCTTAATCATATTAATCGAAATGCTACTGCTAGAAAGAGAATAATCTCTACCGCTGCCACGTGAACAGAATGCACAGCCCAAAAATAATGTCGGAATCATTCTTCTGGTATGCCAACGGTACGACGATATAGTCATTGCGTAAATTTTGAATATAACTTAGGGAAATGGTTATTGAAATGTTACATAATGGTTCAGAAAAGGGATGGTTGAAACTATAAATCGGTTTGTTGTATAGTTGTCCAAACTAAGGTCTACATTGTCCAAATGTTAGTTGGGTGTTTACTAGAGCAGTTAGTACTGAATATTCTTCGTTGCGTTATGATAATTATACGATCAAGCTAGATTATATCTAATATTTATGGTACTCATAAGATACTGTTTTGGAATCGTGCTGCCATCTAACATATTCCGTTTGAAACAGCGATCGATAATTATCGAATACCATATTTAATATTCTATTTGAAGGGGGCCACAGTGTTAAACAGAGTACTTTATACGTAAATTATAACGATTAGTAAAATAAACGATCATCTATTTTTTGTTCAACACTTTTTACCGACTGGCAGTAAAGTGATATTATCACTCCCATTCGCACAAAGAACCAAAATTCACCTACATCGGGTACGTTGCCTACACATGATCACGGAGATAGTATAGACTAAAACCCAGACGTAAAGTAACATTCTTTTTGTTTAGACATTTTAGACTATAAGCAGAGAAAGAACAATAAAGCTTAAAGAAGATAACAGTTTATTTCTATATCGTCCTAAAACATTAACAACAAGGTTTATTACTTCGTTACGGAATCATTGTCACTAGTAATAAACAATCGTACCCTCATCGACATTAGCATTGTAAAATACGACACGCACGTTTTGAACATCTACAAATTTTAATGCATTAAATACTTGTACTGAAATGGTCTTTATTGTCTATGCTAGATGTTTCTGAAATAATTGGTTATACTTTGGAGTATATTCTACGCGTCTTGTGCATTTGAAAGTGTACCAGGAACGCTAACTTTACGAATTATAATCATTTTTCGCTTCTTCTTTCATACTACTGTGGAAACTTCCGAACGCGTGTAAAACTCTACAGTATGTACTGCCACAGAAGAAAATCATTATCATAAATCCTTTTTAATTACGATTTGTTATAAAATTCTGTCCGAAACAGAAAATAACAGCTTGTAAAGGAAATGTTCTAAGAGTCTGTCCATCTACGACTCTTCCCTGCCCTTACTATGTGTAGAATATGCTTCAAAAGTTGAGTGGTCATGCTTCAGAAACACCCTAGATTTATATTACTACATACCATACCGAAGTTCTCTATATTCATATTATATAATCCACCTGCGGACATTATACATGGTACGCCAGACCTTATTAGCATCATGTAAACCACATTTTGTATTCTCACTGGTACTCGATACCAATTGGAGATTTACCTATGATAAAATACCCAAATTTGATTATTTAAAACTATATTCTTCAGACTTCATACAGGAATAGAAATTCATAAAAATTCATACAGAATTTCGTTTACTCCTAAACTGTACTCCAAAAGCTTTTGCCCAGGTACACTGATGAAGAACATGTGAAATTGCTGGGTTACAAGGAAGATAGAAATTCTGAGCGCTTCTTTCGGTTCACCCAGGTTCATAACCGTCTGATACAGGAAAGTGTCAATGAAGTACGGTATTATATCACAAATTGATCCCCAAGCGGGTTCATACGTGATCACTTATGGAGGGAAGGTAGCGAATTTGTTAATGTCCTTTTGAAATTTGTAAAGTAAATGGATTCAGGTATGTCTTGAGTCGTAAACAAAACTAGTCTTACTTGAACAGCTGTCACGCTAATACCGATCATGTTCATTCCAATCTGAAGCAAAAAACTCGTTTGGTTCATTCCATTAAGATGATTGTAAAACCTTCAAATGTAACGACAAAGTAAAATATTAGTGTTCTTTGCACAAATTATTAAATTTTTATAATACTCTTTGCTATACTATTATTAATACACACTGTATCGCTTTATTGTGATCAACAGCGCAGTCCCTGAATTCCTCATACATGTCCTTCTCGTTGGCAAAGTTATTTCTTTCCGTTGCTTGTTTAATTCGTTGCCTGTTTTCATTACACGTATAGAAACAAAAAATATTTGTATTATACGATGCAGCGAATTTCATGTCTAGAGTTACTAAACTTGGTCTAAATATTCTTCGTCTAAGGGATTTTCGAAAAGAGGCTATACGGATTTTGTTTTTTAGTGATCCAGTGGTAAACTTTGCGTTTAAGTAATATTGGGATTCTTCCCATTTTCCTTCGTTGGGCCTAGAATCCCAAACGAGACCCTCCGTATCGATTTCAAGAACCGCATGGTGATTACTGCATCAATGGGACCGAACCGACTTTTTTCCTTGAAACTTAGCAAACTTTGAAGCGTTATAGCTTGAAAACTATTAAAAATCGGGTAAATACATAAAAACGTAATGAATTCGTCTTGAAAAGTGCTATCGCATGGTATAAAAAAGAATACATAGTTCCATTTGAAAAATGAAACTTGACCATCATATCTCGTTAAATAACAAAGTTAACAAAAATTCCTTCTCGCTGAAACATGAGCCTCATTTTACCATGCAATTTCTATATTTGAAATTTTACATTCGGCTGATAGTTTTGGAGTTAGAGCTCCGTATCACTTTGGCTAGGACACCTTGTATGTCTCTCAGATACCCATCCCACTCGCTGCCAGCCCATTCTTATTTCTTTTGCCCGTAGTTTCGCCCGAGTAGCCCCGACCACCGATGTAATATGATCCGAACCGATTGATACGCTTCTGTCGAGTGTTTTCTTTTTCTCGGACCTCTTTCTCTTTCACTATATGTCCTTCTCTACGTTCGACGCTCGACACGTATCAAATGTAAACACATAAACACCTCGAGTGTCAATATTTTGGGTCTCCGGTTTTGCAATATTGCATGCCTCCTTCAGTCGATACTGTATCTTCTAATGTTTTGCCAACGAACTTCGAGTGCAGAGAAGGACAGCGAATGAAGAAGAGGACGGAGCGATATGCGAAAATGGCGACCAACACCGGAATTATTTCGGTGAGCCAAATATGTAGTAAATATGTTGCGAATTATGTCGTGTTTGGTCTCATTTTAATCAGAAAAATGTCGGGAATATGATGGTAACAGTTTTACAACAAAAAACGGTAATAATAAAAAAAGTTTGATCGTTGCATTAGCATTGTCTCATTGAGATATTCGATCCCGGATCATGTTACTGTCCGTTTATCGTAGAGAAACTTGTGCATTTAAGGACACTTTAGAATTATATACAGGGTGTTCCAGCCTAAGTGATACAGAGCTCTAACTCTAAAACTATCGGCCGAATGCAAAATTTCAAATATAGAATTTGCATGGTAAAATGGGGCTCATATTCCAGCGAGAAAGAATTTTTGTTAACTTTGTTATTTAACGAGATATGATGATCAAATATCGTTTTTCAAATGGAACTATATATTTTTGTTTATACCATGCGATAATATTTTTCAAGACGAATTCATTAAGCTTTAATGTATTTACTCGATTTTTATTAGTTTTCAAGCTATATCGCTTCACAGTTTGCTAATTACACGGAAAAATTCGGTTCGGCCCCGGGCGGTCCCATTGATGCAGTAAGCACTATGCGCTACTTGAAATCGAACAGCGACCCCGATAACCCCTGTATACTAAGTTTCATCTAAATTGAATCAATTTTCCTATTTTGGTCCGCCATATTGGATCCGCCATTTTGAGTTTGTAAAATTTGAGTTTAGATTTGGAATAAGCGACCCCGAAAACCCGTGTATACCAAATTTCATCCAAATTGAATCAACTTTCCTATTTTAGTCCGCCATATTGGATCCGCCATTTTGAGTTTGTAAAATTTGTGTTCAGATGTGAAATCGGCGACCCTGAAAACCCCTGTATACCAAGTTCCATCCAAATCGAATCAATTTCCATATTTTGGTTCGCCATATTGAATCCGCCATTTTAAATTTCTAAATTTTGCGTTCAGATTTGGAATCAGCGACCTCAAAAACTCCTGTAAAACCAAATTTCATCAAAATCGATCGTCAGGAAAAATAGATAAAAATATTTCTCTTTGAAAGAACTTTAAGGGATTTTGACGCGCTATGCGACAGCGTCAATGTCCTTCGATGCACGTCGAGTCACTTGTTCGCGTACAAGCGCGGCCGCCAGCGCGTAGCCTTCGCTACCGCGGCCGCTCCAACGGTCTATGCGCGCTCTGATTGGTCGGGGTTTCGCTTAATATCTCCTTAACGAAGCCCCATCCGACATTTTTGGAAAGGAAATTGTTGACGAAAATTTGCTTGCCCCACGGTTATTCTATTATACTTAAATAGAGATGTGAACGTAGATGGGGAAAAAAGTATATGTCCTCATCTACCAAATAGTTGAGTTTAAATAGTTGCCGTCGCGGTCTGGTTTCGTTCAATGGTAGCACAATAGGAAAAGAGGGCCCAACGGAACCAGAATGAATACTGCCAGAGAGGTTAATAAAGTTCCTGAAAAGTAGGTTGGTACTCATTACTGGTCCATTATCATCATTTGAAAACAATGACAAATTAAATTAGTAACATAAAGAAATCGTTCAAGCGGAAGGCCTGTGTTAGATTCAGTATATATGATATTTTTTTATGCTAAATAAAATGTACCCAAAACTAAACAAAGATAAATAAATATATTTGGTCTAATATTTCAGTCTTGTAATTTTCAAAATAGGGTAACCAATAGTTTCATTTAACCGCATCATGAGAATGGAATTTACCGTAACATTTTACGTATATCTTTTAGTAATGCTTATATGTAAAAACAACTGAGAATAACAACAATGTACCTACTTCTGTACACCTGTGCAATAAAACTTCCTTGTCGGGTAACTTCACTCAAAATACTTATCGACATTTTTTTATCCTTCACTGACTCCCAATCTTTTACCACAAGGTCATACAATTTATTCATCTACAAAACATTAATATTTGTGATTTAGTTTTCTACATTAGACTCCTTTGTGCAATGCAATGAATAATTACTTGTTTTCCCTTTATATGGAGGTTTCCTACTTTTACTATCGTACCTATATTCGTGGCAAAAAGTGGCATACACTCTAATGCTCCATCGATGTCATTGTTGCGTATAGTAGTGATGAATTGTAACCACTGTAGAACAAGATGTTTCATTTATAATGAGAAACTATTAAAATTTTCTTATTTTTATTAGATGTATTCGCACAAATATTTGTACATTTCTATTAATAGATAATAGTAAAGTGAAATACTATTAATTTTGTTAATAGAATTGCACGATTAAATTATCAACGTACATTACAAAGTAATATGCCACTTACAGTTGGTACAAATACGCTTAACAAACCAATCAGTTCGATGATGTAAATAACGTTACGTTTGAGGTCCGCTTGCTGTGGAGACTGTCCTATGAATTCCAAATACTTCTTGATCTCTCTGTAATATGGAAGGTCACCTAAAGTCTTTTTGGCGTTTTTACTCTGAAAACCTGAAGAAATTGTTTCGAACTCACGTAAAACTGCTTAACGAAGTTCTAGAAGATAAAAAGGAAGCGAAGACAAAGAAGTGAAAAAGTTTGAAAGAAAGTATCACATATTTAACATTTCTATGTAAAATTTATTTTCTCAGGATTAATTCCATAATAATTCTGCAGGACATATTTAACACGTTTATTTACAGTGGAAAGTCATCCAAATTCGAATATAAAATTACGACTTCGTCTAGAGTTGATATTTAGTGAACTATGACTAATAATATAAATAAACTTACTACTTTTTTACGCGCTGTGTTAACAGACGGGCATACAAAATAAAATAAACCTCACTAACGGAAGTCATCCTTTTGATTCAATATTCGTTCGCTGTTTTCAATAATTTCAAAAAACAATATGGATAAACAACATAAACGATTACACGAATTGTTAAATTCCTTCCATATAGCACGGCACTAGTGAAAAAAAGTGTTCTACGTTCACCAGAGATCTATTCATCTACCCCTACGCTTTATACCGAGAACGCAACCCTTCGAGACTGCAGAAATCATAGATGATGAAATAAAATATTAATTGACGTCTCGTTTAAAAAATTTAGTATTCTGAAGTGAGCCTACGATACATGCTTCACTGAGAACAAGAACTTTACAATCAGTTTTTTATCTACCCCCTATCTTTTCTGTAATTTCCGAAATGACACTGTAATGTATGCCTGTCAATTGGTCGATCGATGTGAGGCAACAATTGCTGCTTGAAGGGAAGAAAAAACGCTGTGGAACGGAATAATCATGCTCGCCGTAACCATCTCGACGTAATCGGGGAACAGACGTAAAACAAAAAAAAAAAAAAACAAAATATGTGTCGAATTGAGTAATTTCCTCCTTTTTCGAAGTCTGTTAAACAGGAATTGCGTGTGGTTCTTCCGTGGCATTTTACTGCGACACGTTATAACAGTGACATTGGCCATATCGAAGCCGTTCTTGAGGTAAAATTCATGCAGTTGTTTTTTAATATTGCTGCATCTGTTTTCCTTTTACTCTCTATTAAAAACTGTATAGGAATCTAAGAATTAAACCTTGTCAAATATTTAAAAGGCAACCGGCCAGTCCCATAAATATTCGTACCCTCTTTGTCTATTGAAGACATTTGTCTAAATTAAATGATAGGTTTGATGATCCCGAATAAATATTCATTATAAACGTATATATGTGAAAAGTTTGTTTTTGTAAACATTTATCATGAAACATTTATTTGAAGACTTGGACAAATTTCTTTAATAGACATAGAGGTTTCGAATATTTATGAGACTGACTGTAAATTGCTCCTATCTTATTCACTTCTTCTAATATGGAGAATTGCAAAAGAGTATCGACATGTATTATATTTTTTAGGTTCGGTATTTGTAACAAATCAGTCAATTTATGGCATATAAATTTGTTTATTATCATTATTTGTATAATATATTTGAAACAATATCATTCTACAACATTGCATAAAAATATACAAAGACATGACAAAATGTCTTGACTCTCGTTTGATAAAACATGTTCATGAATAATTTGATCAGCGTTGCACCACTCTCGGTTCTAACGGAATTCAATTGAAATAGGTCACTTTCGAATCGCGATTTTCTTTTTACCTTCTCCGCTTTCTTCTTTTATGTATCTCTCTCGGTGCCACCGCGAGAAATTTTAATCGATCGACGAACTCTGGGTCGAAATAAAACGAATTACTCGCGTTTCGTTCCGTGTCCCCCGTTCACACGTTATATGCCTAGGTGAACGGAATGAAAACAATTATTCTCGAATGGGCACTTTCGGTTTTTTACCTACGAATATCGATTACGACGCTTTATAAAATAATTATATTTTACAAAAATCGGTGATCGTGCGAACGGGGTGGAATTTGCAGCGACACGAACGGCTACATACTGTTTCTGTTGTTTCTTATGCAATGAAAGAATGCTATGACCGAATCAGTCGCGCAACCAGAAGTCTCAAATAGAAATTGGAGGAGGGGGTAACATTTTTATATGTCTGTGAACATTCTGTGAAAATTGTTTTCGTTCTTGTACAAGAGAGGGGTATCCTATACATTATGCATAAATACATACACGATATTTAAAACTTATGTTTACGTTTGGTAAAATTAAAAAAAGAATCGTTTTCACTTTTCTGCAACGAACAGGGTCCTCTTGTACCCCTCTGGTTGCGTAACTGGGACCGATATACACACAAAAGGAACGTTCATTCACTAATAAGGCGTACGCTTTACGTCTCGATGGCCAGAAGTATCGCGTGGCCCCCGAGACGAATCAAAACGGAGGGAAATGTGTCTATGGAAAAATAAAAGAGAAAACAAAACGCGTTTACCCTCTCTGTTTGGAATGCGCGCGCTGCAATGAGAAGCGCCAAAGAACTCACGACTCAACGATAGGTGGCAGAGATAGGCAAAATTCTTATTTGAATGCAAATTTCATGAATTTATAAAGAAATTTGAAATTTGTACGAATTAGAAGATAACCTGTTGTTCACCCTAGGCCTGCTTCTATCATTTGAATAAAACAAACAACTGTTTTTTCATTTTTCTCTAAATGAAAATGATAATTCTTATTAATATCCGATTATAATGAAATTAAAACGTTGACTAATAACTTACTATTCCTGAACTTCATTATCTATCACTCGAATAAGATTTTGCCCGTCTCTGGTCGACAGGAAAACAGAAGAAAAAGAAGCGCAACCGTAGACAAAGATTTGCTTCGAGTGCGTCATAAACATGTTTAGAGAGTACATAGGCCTGAAATAATAAAATAAAAAGAACGAAACGACAGACAGTAAAATGAAAAAAAAAAATAGTCGAAGAAGTAGAATGCGTTTTGAATGTCAACGAAACGGTAATCCTTTTCGACGCGTGGCCTTTGACGGAATTCGAAATCGGATTCAGATTGTTATAGAAACACTCTCATCCGAACGCAATTACTATCTTTCTTTTGAGATCATTGGCCGAAGGATAACAATGACAATTATAATAATATTAATAATGACAATAGTAATAAGTAATAATAATAATAATAATAATAATAATAATATGACAATAATAATATAATAATGTAATAATAATAATAATTACTTAATAATAGTAATAGTAATAAAAATAACTATCCGTAAACTATCCTTTACCAAGGGAGATATTATCCATTAGCTTATTTACATAATCTGTGTATATGATTTCTCATTTCTCCTCCTCCGTTCTCGTTTCCTTTTCATTTAAATTACGAATTATTACAATAATTCACTATCGAGTCCGCTTTCGATCAGCAACATAAATAATCATAACGCAACACTCTCCACGTGTTTCTTATTTACAGGCATTACTTCCCTCGCCCCCCCCCTCTCTCTCTCTTTCTCATTCTCACTCTTTCTCCACTTAATTTCCTTTTAATTATTGCTGCCTCGTCTCATTTTCGATGGCCAGATCCGTTTTAATTCTTAACGGAAAGAAATGGCGAGGCGTAACATTCGCGGGCGCAGATCATTGAAAACCAATCGTCGGAGAGAGATGGAACTAAATTCTTATCTAGATAAAAATGTCGATTAACTAGTAACAGATAAACAATCGTTCATCTCGTTAGTCTTCGTGGAAATAAAATTTTACCTGTTCGATCGAATAAATGTTGTAAATAAAGTGTTACGTGTTGATTTCATTCACAGCTATTATCCAAATAAAAAAAAAAGCTGGTCTATTTCAGTCGACAAAGTCGTCAATTGTCTCGAGCACTAGAGGTCTATGAACAAAGGCGCCCCTGTATGTACGCGTTATGATACGTCTTAACAAACGAGTCTACCATTATCATTACAGCATTAACAATATACATATCACAATCGTTGAGAACAATAGCGTCGAGAGAGTATTGATTCTATATCGATAAATCAACGGCGAATACTCGTCGTTCCGGACGTTCCTTTAATCTCTTTCTATCTATTCTTAGGTTGGTTTCATCCTTTAATTCGAGGCGATTTCTCACCAAGATGGCGGATAAACGATTTTCCTCTGAAGACGAAAGCGCCATAGGACTTCGCCAAGGCGGTTCTTCATCGATAAATCCGCGAGCCACAAAAATTACAAATCACGTGCTTCGCTCGCTTTCTTTCTGTGTCTCTAGCTTCTTCCCACCCTTCGACTACACTATTTACAATGCCGAAGCAATAAAAGAAGCTGATGCGTCGCTGTGCTTCCGTCGCCCGTGATTACCAGACGTCGTCATCTTAGATTTGACTGCGTCCATCGAAAGCCTCAGTGTCCAACAAAAATACCCCTCTTGAACTCATTTTTCGAAGGACTGTCTGAATTCGCCACAATTCGATGGTACAGAGGTTACCACTTATAAAAATCGCGGTTTCCGACGGATCGTTGGAGTAACAAGGATGCATAGACTAGACGTAAAATTCTATTGGTTCTTTATTAAAATGCAAACTTTAACAAAATTAGGAAAATATATATACTTGTCGTTTCCAGGAGACACACGAAGAAACCGACCTCGGAAAGCAAACAATTTATCGTGACGAGGTTCGAAGGATGTTTACGGGCATCGAGGATGTTTCTCATACGTCTCGTAAATAGAGGATCGATGGAAAATGATCTAGTCGACGGTCTACGCAAGGTAAGCGAGTATAAAATAAATTGGATACAAGAACCGTTCGGTTTCATATAATTTTGAAACTCATCACATCCTATTTTTCACTCTGTTTTCTTTCCAGTGAAATTTCGAAGCTTCATTTTAGTAACAAGAACTCCGAATAGATGTCTGTCGATACTGCTGACCTTTACGACGCAGGGTAACTGACGATTCAAGGTAATTATTAGCTATACTAACATTCATATAGCCATCAATTAATAGATTCGTGTCTATTAATTATTGAATCGTTCCAAATTAAAAAATGTACTCTTTAGTGCAAAATTGAGTGTCGTGCATCTTCGTGTGCAATCGTCTTTTGATAAATATACAACAATTTGAACAGGCAAGGCTCATTCTAGACGCACGAACGTATCTCTCTTCTTCCCCATTAATCGCAAAGGTCAGCTAACTGATAACGCGTTTCATAATTTTCAAGAGTTACACTTGTCTGTATGGGAGCATCGTGGTATGTCGATGTCGGCCAGTGGATCGTGGTTGTGCTTGCGCATTGGATCAATGAGACCCAGCTTCGTATTCAATATTTCACAAAATTCTTCTCAAAACTAGAGGAAAAGTCTGAGCTTTATCGAGGACTATTGTAAAACTAGAAAACTCGAAAATTTCATAAGCCTAACACTGATTCCTTTTTCAAAACTCACCTGTTAACTCTTACATTTTCATTCTTATCGCAGTCATATGACTACACGTTTAGAATTATTAAATGAAATATTGTTTTGCATGAATCAGTCGCGATCCGGGGCATCGCCATCGTCGATTGGAATTTCAGGAGGAGGCCAGAACGTCGACTTGACATTTTCGGTGATTCACCTCCATCTCTGTTTCTTTTGCTCGCCTCTGGCAATCCTTATTCCTCATCGCTCCTATTTTCAGTCTGGTCTCTCCCTAACCGTGATATTGATCCTCCTCCCCTAACTCGCTTCGTCGCGACCACGCGTTAGGACGCTATTCGACCTAATGTTGGATTGTCGCGCAGATGGAGATACCGCGGAACGCCTTCGAAAAATAATGAGGCTTTCCCTTCAATTGTATACCAGAGATAGGCTGAATTTCACTCTGTAAGATGACAAATAAAATCTCCAAACAGCAATTATTCGCTACGTTCACTTGCTTTTACAGTTACTTGCACGGAATTTAAATTTAAACTTTTGTTTAGCCAGTAATTTACATTGCGCGGGCAGTAGGAAAAACAAATTGGGGTAAACGTTAAAATATGTATAAAATAAAACGAATATACGGGAAACGGGAGGACGAGGAGAATCTGCTTGGCAACGACAGGCTCGATGGAATCGATAATGAGCGAAGTTTTGGCAGAATTATCGCGTGGATGGCTTCGTACGTGGAAAATATCCCTTTGGACTCACAACAAAGACGCTCTTACAATTTTTCAGCCTTGTTCTAAAAAGTTAGTTCTTTTATAGCCATCTGCTGCATTTACAAGGTGTCTCAGTGATAGTAACAATACGACGTTAGAACAGAAGAAAAGAGAAGAAAATGAATTTACAGCAGTAAAAGTAAGTATACATTTGGCACAGACGCGAGGCACAGCTCTATGCTGTTGTTAACCTAATCTTAAAACAGTAAAAAAGGAAAGTAATGCGATAATATAGTGGGAAGCGTTAGTAGGAAGGAAATTAAAAAGTAATCACGAATCAATCGAGAAAGGGACGATTCTTAATCCAAAAACAAATTGAAAATGTAGAATATTTTAGTATGATCTTATCGAGAAGAACAACTCTAGTTCGACTGCTGAGACATTCTATATACTCAAGGAACGTTGTTTAAGTGCATGGAATTCCTTTTCTTTCCAGCCTCTTTGGTCACGGAGTCAATCTAAATAAACTTCCGGATGATAATTCAGTAGAAAACAAACGATTATAGGAACTCAACGCATTTTATTAATAACAGTTCGAGATTCAACATTGGAACTTTTTTTTTTATTCTATGCGAAATGCCCGTGTATCGTATAAAGTTATAAATATTATAAATTAACCGAGGTGTATCCGTCCGGGTCGAGTGGTTCTCGACGTACCGACACACACCCCGCAATCCATTCGCTTCTCAGTTGAAACCGACTTTTACTACTTAACCATCGCATAGTGGACCAGAATTCATTCGCAACGTGACAAAAATGATCGACTGATTTCAGCCAAAATTACACGCACAAAAACATTTGTTTCGAGTCCTTATTTATTCGCCTAAAAGTTCCTACACTTAATCACATTCTGATGCTCGTATTAATATCTGTGTAAAGAATAATATCTTTAATTTTTTAATAAAATTGCCTTGAAGTTGCTAGTCATTCATATAAAAAACAAAAGCCTTTTGAAGCAATCGAACTTCCTGAATCTATATTTAGATCACTTTGAAATCCACTTAAAATATCGACCTTTTAGAAACTGATTACAAATACTTTCGTAGTATTTACCATTTGAGTACGAATTAAATAAAAATGTTGTATCCCATAATTCTCAATTTTAGAATTTATTAAAATAAACCTCTCGAGTCATACTCCATCATCAATGTTTGTCTCTGACCTTACCATACAGTTTCTTTCAGAAGCTGTATACAATTTCGTTCGAAAAGGGTGAAAGAAGTTACCGGATTTATTCCTAATCTCACCGAAGTCTGTCAATTATCCTTGTCGCGTTATCAATGAATTCTGGACAGTGCTGGAGTAAAGAATGCGATCGCCAGCGTTATCGTCGCCTTGTGTCACTGTTTGCTTCCGGTTCTCTTCCTCCCCCGACGTTGGAAGCTCGAGTCGCGGCCTCTGTGTCTCTTTGAAACGACAGAACGTCGGTGATTGGTCACGAATGACTCGAGGCACTGGTATAACTTTCACCCTTGTCCTTTCATCTCGACGTGTAAAGAAAAATGTAGAACGATCCACCGTGACAATCGACACCACCAAGCGCACGCTTGTTGCTCTCCGGTTTTTGGTTGGTCCCTAATGCTCTCTTTCCGCGAGTACACCTCGTCGACCATTTTTCTTTTCCACTAGCCTGTCTCTTCCATATCTCCCGTCTCTCTCTCGCTCTCTTTCTTTCTCTCACTCTCACACTCTCTCTCTCCTCCCCTGCTCGTGCACGAAACGCATAATAGAAAAATGAACTTTAAAAAAGAAAAAACAAAAAGAGAACGGAACATGCGGCGACTTTGTTTCACCACCTCCGTATTCTTGATTCTCTCGATTTACATTTACATACGATGTTCGCATATCATCAACGTGAGAATTAGAGCACCTGTTCTTCTCCTTCGTTCCCTTCTTCACCTTTTTTTCATTATTACCTTTTTTTTGGTATTTTCATTTTTATCGTTTTTGTTGTTTAGATTATGTTTCGTGGCCCCAATATTTTACAAGACAATAATAACGCGTCGTCGCTCCGCCCAATGAGAATTTCATTTCTTTTTCTTCAAAAAAAAAAAAAAAAAGAAAAAAAAACGATTATATACTCTTCTAATTTCGCGCGACAAACACACATACTCTCTCTCTCGATCTTTGTCTCACTCTCTCACTTTCACTCTGTCTCTCGAGCGCGAGTATAATTATACTTATGTATCGTGACAAGCGAAACTCCGTAATCGGAATTAATCGTGCACACTTTCGGCGAACGGTCGAGGATACTTTTGTCTTCATTCGTATCCCTCGTTTCTTTGACTCCTTTAACGGGTGTGTCCGCGCAAATGCGCGTTGTGTTCACTCGTTTCAAACATTCTCGCGCCATTACCATTGTCGATCGAAATGAAAAAAAAATCTTAATCTGCCCCGACCTCTCTCCTCCATCTCACATTTTAGAAAGAAAAGTTTTGATCAGACAAACCGTGGATTCCTACTCGTTTTTTTTCTTTATCTATGGAATGTATCACTATTTGGAAGATTAGTCGCAGATCCGCCGTCTGGGGCAACGATGAACTCGTCCTTTCGAAAAATCGATGGACTAAGCGTATCGTTAATAGTTAAGGAAAGCTCTTTGCTGGAAAGGTCTGAAAACAATTTGAAGCGAAGAAACATTTATCGATTCGAAGTGAATTGGTCTCTCGGGGTTGCCGAGGAGCTACCCTCACAATACCGCTTGGTTACCCCCACCACAACATCTTCTGCCTTCGAGCGCCATCTGTTCGCGACAGAGGAAAGCTGGTACAGCGTGGAAGATCCGACCATAATTTCGAAAGCAGAGATAGACAAGATTCGATAGACAAGAATTCGAATAACGAATCAAAATAAACACGTTTCGTTCATCCGTTAGTTATTCAACCTGAATCTGAATTATATTAGGGTGGACCAACGGTTTTCTCCGATTTTTCTTCCTTCTATGTTCTTTTTTTTTCACCGAATGATTAAGCTAAATTGGTTTTACGTTATTTCGTAGCTCTTTTGTGTATTAAGTGCTAACAAATGTGTATTTTTAATTTTATCAATCTATAGGGCTTCCAGGTATGTTTACTGGTTCCCCAATTTTACTTTACTTTAAACATTTCATCCCTGGAGGGATTGAATAATTTTATTCACTTTAAACATTCGTTAAAAAAGAAGGAAGAAAAATTGGAAAAGAAACTTTCGATTCACCCTAATAGAATGAAATATTTCCTAGCGAAGAAGGGAATATTTAAACGCTGAACGTCACAGATACATTTTTTGATATTCTTAGGAAACCAATCCCACGAATGACGGGTTCATCGCGCCAAGAACGGGCTCCTCGCACCTCACCGTGATTATTTGTGTGCAACTTCGGCGCGGCGACGCGGCACATTCTCCGTAACTAAACTGAATAAATACACACTCGAATCGAGGAAATGTGCTCTGTCGCCCAGAAAAAAAGCATGTGTTCGCTTCATGCGTCGTCATTCGCTCCCTGGCAGTCCTTTTCCCCCCAATTTCTCCTGGCCATTCGCTCTGTTATCATCAATTACTATTATCATTATAATATTCACCTATATCATACGGTTTTCTTAATTTTAATCGGCTAAACTTTGCGAGCTTATCGTCTCGAAACTTTCTCCTTATAGCTTGCATACCTATGTACAGTCAAGATTTATCTTTAATTTATCCCCGGTAGCAACACTAACACCGCATTCTTAGGAAGGGTCTCTCTCTCTCTCTCTCTCTCTCTCTCTCTCTCTCTCTCTCTCTCTGTCTCTCACATTCTCTCTTCTTCATCGTCAAACACGACGCGAACCCTACCGCGTGACCGATCAAATAAGGGGTTCGAGCCCCCGCCACGACAGGCCACGGAATTCACCGAATCGAATATATATCTCATAATTGACTTTCTGTTTAATTGTAGATACGCCGTCGTGGCATCATTAAATACACTACGTTCTAGCCGTTATTAATAACATTGTTTAGCCGTGAACCAAACCTCTAAGGTCGAACCGATCCGTTCGAGGGCAACGGCAACATGCGACCTCCGTTGTCGATGACACGTCGTTATAATCGATCGTGTAGGACCGATAGTCGATTGTACCTAAGTGTTCGTCGGACTGACGCGTGAAAAATCAAGAGGATTTCATCGTTCCTTTCGAAGTGCCCGTCAAAGACGCTATATCGGTGTCGTCGATCATCCCCCACCTGGCCAGCCTCCATAGGCTACCATAATTCGTAGAGGAGGGACGAGAGAAACCAAAGTTCAAATGTGACTTCTACAAAAAAAAAAGAGAAACACGAAGGACAGAAATTCCGTTTGCTTCTCGGGTGACTCTTGATTTCCCACGCAGTCGAGACCACGCTCTCTTGGTTCTCGTCTCCGCTACCTCGGATCGGTTATCGTTAAGAAATTCAATTTTTACCTAAAACGTGATTGCCTAGAAAGAATAGTCGGCAGCCTAGAGAATAGCTGCCGAAAATGCGCTACGACCGGTTACTGTCTGTAGAGGAGCGACGTCGAACCGGTTGCCCAAACACATCCATTCAACGTCGCTGACGAACGACGATCGTTCTCGCCTGGGATTCGTTCACCTGGGGGGTTCAATCTCTTAAAATACGTGTTCACGTGACACCACTTAACCTGCACTAACTCCTTACTAGCTTAAGATTGCTATAGACTGTTGACGTGAAACTCCAAGTAACGTAAGAACAGAGTACAGTCTATAACTCAGATGTTAGGTATAATATCGTTTGTCTCGTTTAATGCAATAAACGCCAGAACTTACGTTTAAAGTAAAATGCAAGTTGGCTTGATGAATTTTGCGTACAGTCCTGCTTCGAGAAGATTGCAGATCGAAGGACCGTTAGACCTCATTAATCCTAAAGAGACTGTAGCCTCAGTAATGAGATACAATGGCCCTTCGATTTGCAATTTTAGAGTGACCCAATTTATGGACGTCGCCAGGGGCCATCTTCTCACAGCAGGACATCGAATTGTAATCTGCGCGAGATCCGAAGGAAGTAACTATGTTCTTGGTCGTCGATTTATAATATTCAATTTAAGGAAACTCTAATGCATGCTAGTTGGTCCTATTAGTACGAAAAATACCGTTTTCAATTTTCATTTAAAAGCTACAGAATGGAATGAATGATCCCGCGCATTCCTGCGTGGTAGGCTCCCGCAAATGGACCGACAGGTAAAGCGTTAAGTCACGCTTTCATTGGCGTGACGGCAAATGTCACGACATTTGTCGTCGAGAACACCATAATTCGCGTTGTCACGACGTTCCAATCAATGTAGCGACTTGGGTGTCTCAGAGTCAACTTGAGTGTGATTTCTCATGGCATTTTGAAGACAACGTCGGGAGACTCCCTTCATACGTTCAGGATCCACATATTTTCTCCACTTTAAATTTCTTCGTTTCTAATTCTTACATTCTCTCTGTAAATAATTTAACCCTTTACACTCGAGGCTTTTTTTTATCTACCAGCAATTCAAGATGCTTTCTTATCATTCTATTGCCACGAATGCTAAGCTTAGATTGACTTTGAAGATGTAGCCCGATCGCAAACTAATCTGAGATTTGAGAATCCGGTCACCTTTACTTCACCGACAATCATTTTATTTATGAAACTTCGAGTTCCAAAATAATTAAAGCTAAACAAACATTATTGCTGGTTGATTTACTGCGTCAAACCTGGTGGTGACCGAGAGTTACCCTCAAGTTACCGCATTACGTTAAGATGTGATTGAGAGTCACTTCTCGAGTGCAAAGGGTTAATTTATCGCATGAAACTATGTGAGAACACCAACTAAAGATGTAATTCATGCCACGACCTTGATGTCGCGTGAACACGCATCTTAGGACAAAGTCTGTCGACTTTTCCTTGTATGAGAGTTACATTGACGATCCTCTTGAAAGGTACAGGAGCCCTATTGGAGCATGTACGCCTAGTCGACTATTCCTCGAGTATAGGATAATGCTTTTTATCACATCCACCAGACCCCTACCATCGTGCAACGAAAGGTCGATAGTCTGGGTGAGCCCTTGCTTCTCAAGACGATCGACAGAGGAAACTTTTACTAATCGTATCTATTTTACACGGTGCACGAATTCGATACACCATTGCGTTCTGTTCCACAAGGTCTAGCACCCCTGAAAACGCTGGACATCACTGGACAGCACCGCGGATGTGTTTCATGACTCGTGGAGGGTCAACAGGGTGGTTTAGTGTCAAAAACGAGGTAACTGAATGCTGATTTTCCGCTAAGAGTGGAAGTGGCTTAGCATGGAAATGCTGAGCTAAATTCATTCTCAACTTAAAATTAACAATTGCATAATAACAGTTGGTGGAAGAAACATTTAGATCTTTTTAAATCAGTCTCGAGTGGTCTCTCAAGCGACTCATCACTCTTAGTACAACCTCGTCATGCACAAATCAATGCATAGGGATTTTCCTGTGCGATCTGATTGCCACAGGACCACAAGTACCAAGTTCTAAAATTTCTGGTGACCCTAAGAAAAGATTCTTCAATGCTCCACGTTCTCGACGCTTCATAAGGGCGTTTTACACCCTCTAGTTTCCATGGGACCTCTATGCTTCTCCCATCAAGCACCCTCCCGACACCAGACCATCGAATCTTCCATCGAGTCAAACCAGACTCGCCGTACTCTTGGTTTCCTCTTGTTCCCTGGGCGAGACGATCTCATCGAACGCGAGGATTTCGTTCCGATCGATCTCGAGGAATCGACGCACGATATACGCGACGGAGGAAGTTGCGCGATGGGGAGCAGATGAGCTCCGTCGATATCGTCGCGAGCGTGTGTCCACCGCCGCGGGAGGTGGATCGATCCCCCTTGGCGTTAGTCCGCGTCGTTTCTAACCGGCCTGGTTATATGCGATTCCCGAATAGACCGCGAGAGGCGTGGCCTTACAGAATATCGAGGTTGAAGCTCGCCGTGGAGTCGAGGGAATTCAGGAGCTCCTGAGCGCTGAAGTTCGACGTGTCCCCGGCTGGCAGGTTCTCCAGAAACTCGAGGCTGAAGTCCGCGGCGGCCACGGACGGATCCGTCGCGGTTGATTGTTGCGTGTGCTGTTGCTGCGGCAGGCTGCGCACACCTGGACTACCTGCGCCGTACTGTTGGTGCGGATGCAGAGGTGAACCTGAAATTTATCGTTTTTTAATATCGTTAAGTCGACTCAATTCTGTTGAATTGAATTAAAAACACTGAATTGTTGCGGGGGGAGCCCCTTCGGGGAAGAAGGATTGAGTTGTTAGGTCATAAAAATAAGATACGATGAAGAATATCTGAAGTTGCATATTTAAATGAAGATTTAACCCTCTATGGGCCGAATTTTTTTACAAACAATTTGCGAGACATTTACTTCGGTAAATTCAGATTGATAGTGTTGCTAACCGTCATTAATGTAATTATTGGTTATCAGAGATCTTAAATTAGGAGGACGAGAAAGTAATGCCGTTTCTTTTACATTAAATTCAAACAAATAAATTTATGTGTTTTTATTTTTAATCAATTATATAATCGTCAACAATCTTTTCCCGTCTAGTGTGCAATTTTTCAATACCTGATCGATAAAAATCAATTGGTACACAGTGAGCTGATAAATAATAGACAAGTATTGACATTCGCAAAAACGACATTACTTTCTGGCCTCCCTAATATAATTAAGACATACACGTCCTTTTGTGAAGAAACTAAAATTATTTGATTCAACGTCCATATATTAGTATGAAATCTAAAAGTTACACGGGCTCATAGGCGGTTAATATATAAAACCATCATATTTTGCTTTTATAGATTAATTGTATTATTTATCCCGACAATTATCTTTCGATATTTATAATGATACCTCCAAGAAAACTTTCGTATCTCATTCAAAATGTCTCCGCAATTATTCTCTCCATCGCGACTGGAGCTGCACGGATACAGGAATGATCATTGGGCGAAGACTTACCCGTGCCTGTACTGCTGACAGAGTTGACTGATGAGGACTGCGACATTTGCATCTGCAGTGACATCTGATTATTACTTTGCTGCATGGCTAATGTCTGCTGCTGGTGTTGCTGCGACAGTAGTTGCTGCATCTGAGTGCTGTTGGCCATACCGGAGCCAGCAATACCTCCACTCTGAGACCGAATCAGCTGTTGATGCTGCATCTGTGCGGCGTTCATTTGCATTCCGCCCGTACCGCCCATTGCGAACCCACCTGGAAAAACAAAGCGAGCAACACTTCTCATTTTAGTCGCACTGAGAATGCTTGTTTCATCTATTTTAAATTTTATGGATACTTCACACGTGCAAGTAACTAGTCTGACCACATTTCGAAAATAGATTTGGCATACTGTTTGCGACAGCCTTTACTCTGTAATCCTACAGATATAAACAGGTTTCTTTCAAAATAAAAGTAAGTGATACCATTTATCATATTTTACAATTGTTAACCCTTTGCGTTCCTATGTCAAGTGAGGCTCGACAAAAATATACTGAAATCAGAAAATTTAGACTGCGAAAAGTTAAAGCAGAACCAAGATAAAAGTGCAAGGAGTCGAGGTGGTGCATTTAAAGCAATTTCAAATGCCCAAGCACCAATCTTATCAGCTAATTATCCATATCTCAAAAATGATCATTACACTCAACATCTTGGATCAACAGAGGTCATCCGCAACGGTAGGTTAAAATCGAAGGCGGACAAGTTGAGTGGTTCTCCTGTCAGGACGTCCATTCTTCACGCGAGACAGCCTCTGTGCGGAATTATGGGCGTAATACGGTGTTGGACGCTTACCTTGGTGTCCTTGTTGGTTGAATTGCGATCGCATCTGTGTTTGAAAGCCCTGCTGCTGCTGCATCAGAACGTGTCGCCACTCTTGCTGAGCGCCACGGCCCGCGATGCTATTCCCAAGGCCGTCGGGCGGGCCGACGCTGACGTTAGGCGGCCGTTGATTATTAGTCCTAGGATAACCGAGACGCTGATGCATCTGATGCATCCCGCCAATGGCGGCCATACCGCCACTGCTCATGTACATGTTGCCCCCGGCAGCGTGCAACGTCTGTTGTTGCTGCTGCGCCATTTGCGGCCTCATCATCGGACCTGGGGTGAGAAGAAAACGACGATAACGTTAATGGGCGTGAAACTTTTTTCCCGTTTCCTTGTTTTAACTCCTGCCTCGACGTGACTTCGAATTCTTTGGTGTGCGTAGAAACTCTGAATCTTTCAAATATTCTTTCAATTACAGTCAGTCCCATACGCATTCATACCCTCTATACTTATTGAAGACATTTGTCCAATTTCAATGAATGCTTCATGATTCCAAATCAATTAGTAACTGTAAATATACACATGTGTGAAGTTTATTCATGCACACATTTATAATAGGAAGTTAATTTAGAAATATGAATCCTATCATTTAAGTTAGATAACTTTCTTCAATAGACGTAGAGGGTACAAATACTTACGGGACTTACTGTATGTAGGACTTTTTGGGGATTTTAAGATCTCTGCGACCCTTCAAGGGGCGTAGGAATTTTGTTTAGATGGAACGTAAGTGTTTTTGGAAAATTATAGTGTCTAGGCAATAGTTACTATCAACGCACAACACGTGTGCAAAACATATTGCTTAGAACAATGAAAAAAAATCAATTTTCCTATCCTTTTTAGTATAGATATCGATCGCGAAGAAGCGTCGCTACGTTCAGGATAGCTGGATACACGAGGAGTTAGGCGTATTGCGAGCGCAACGCAGGATTGCTTTGTGGATTTTTCGTTTGGATAGAATCTTATGAAAGTAGCTCCAGGCAGATCGATAGGAGTCTCGTATGGGGTACGGTGTATAAGGATATTTACGACCCCCCACCCTTCCCTTCACTATCCAGTTCGCGTTCTTTCTTTCTGGTCTGGAACGGATCCAGCGAGAGATCGAGTTCATTTTCCGACGAATGCTTGTCTAACCAATGGTTAAGAAGCGTGTAAACATTGTTGGAACGGTCGAGACCGCGGAAAGTCAAATATTCTTTCACGATTATTCATCGATTTCGCTTGACAAATTGAAACTAAAAAATTAACGGTGAATAAGTTTATTCTGAAGATAATTGTACGACAAAAAGTTGAAACTTAAAAGAACGTACTAAACATTGCTTGTACGAGACTGAGAGTTTAAAAAATAATTCAATCAATAACTTTCAACGAATAATCAGGATTGTTCCTATGAAATACAGATTCACACGAAGGTGATATTTTTTAGAGATGGAAGAAACGTTAACAATATTTTGAACGAGTGGTAATCGAAATGAAATTCATGAATTTTGCACTCCGAGGACAAAATTAACGCGAGAATTCCATAAATCTCGTTATAAATTTTCCTCGTTTACGTGAGTTGTCGCCTTAGTTTTCTGATTACCACTTTCCATAGCTTCGACGTTCTCATTTTCGTAGAAGTTTTCTGATATGATCCATTCGTATATCCAATGATATATTTCTTTACCTGCTCTGGAGATCTCCCACAAATAATATGACTTAAAGAACTAATAAATTCTTTTCTTATGAAACAACCTACTAATTTAATTTACAATTCAACCAAGAGCAATTTTATCTAGCAACAAAACCACAGAACAGCGCGTAACGTTGACACGTTTACCGTGTTATATCCCCTTAACCTTTATCAGTTTATCAAGCGATAAAGAAAAGCGCAGAAAATCACCATTGGGGAATCAAAACCGCTATCGAGCACACACCGAAAGAGCCATTCCCAGTTTCGACGGAAGATGAAAGAATCGATAGCAGCGTCGGATTCTCATTAGCCTGAGTGCCTTTCGACTCTGGCCAGCGCATATGAAAGTGACGTACCGTCGCCACTTTCAGCGTAAAAATAAAAAAATAAGCGAAACAGAAGAATGGATCGCCAACCAACGCCGCCTCGCTTGATTTACACTTTTTCAAAAGTACCTGAGTCTTCTTGGTCGGACTCTTCAAATGTAAATTAAACGATCGACTCACTGTTTTGTAAATTCACAATCTCGCCTAAATATTAATAACAATCACGATTCAGAATAAAAGTATTTATTGAAGACATTAATCGTGAGAAATTTGATGAAATTAAATGATAACGTGGTAAATATTCGTGGTAAATAAATTTTCATAATATACTTGTTTGATAAAGACTCATAAATAGTAAGTCGAAATGTTGCAACACACAACCCCCTGTTACCAGAGAAACAGCTCTCAGTTCAATTGTATTTCTATTTGTACTTGCAAAAGGCATTTTCAGCAGACAAATTCCAAAAACCCAGATTATAATTTTATTTTTTTCCCAGTGTTAGCCTGGCTAACGTATAAATGAATTCGATTCGAGGAAACTTAGCATGGAGTTCTCGATGGTATCGCGATCGACTAACCTGAAGGTGGCATAGGCTGTTGCGTAACCCTTCGCATAGGCCCGGTATTGGGAAACCTTGGCTGCTGACCCATGCCGATACCAGCGTGCATCATTTGGGCCTGAGCCGCCGCTTTGTATTCGGGAGGCGGTGGTCTCACGCCTCCCATTCCTCCAGCCATGTGCTGTTGCTGTTGCATCACCTGAAAAATAAACGAACAATACATTTCCATTACTCGACGTTCCTCAAACACTGATCTACGTAGTGGTTGCATTAAGAATTACGTGTGAAAATTTTCTCTGATGTAGTCTTAACCCTCTACGGGTAGAATTCTTTTTTCTGTAGACAACTTGTAAGTCATTTACTTTGATATTTCAGGTTGATGGTGCTGTTAACTATCATCAACATTGTAATCCATACTAATATTATAAATGCGAAAGTAACTCTGTCTGTATGTCTGCTTGTTTGTTATCTTTTCACGCCTAAATCGTTGAATAAATTTCAATAAAATTTGACATAGGCTATACTTTATTTTAATAAAAATAAGATTTTAGTTCGAAATCTCAATATTTGAGATTTGACTTACAGAAAACAAAAGACAGTCACCTACTGATTCACGAATGCAAACGACATAAAATAAGTAGTATTCCACACGAGTGAAACCGCGGGATGCAGCTATACATATGCAGCTAGTTGATTATCAAAGACATTATATAATTAAGACGTACACATCATCTCGTGGCAAACCTAAAATTATTTCGTAATCTGTCGATATTAGTAGCACGTAACCTGAAAGTTACACGAACCCATAGAGGGTTAAACTAGGACCTCGATTATAACTTTCTTTTATAAAGAAAGTAGAAAATAACAGATTGAATGCAGCCGATAGAGATTATATGAGGTATTTCGTTTGATTTAAGAGTATCGTCTTTGTAAGTGTACTCTGATCGGTACCAACGACTGAGAAAACGGTGACCAAGCGTCTCCGGTTGCCTTTCGACAACCGTCGGCGTTGCCTTCGTTGTCGTCGCGTTCACAGTCTTTCGTTGGATCCGCGTAACACCAGGAAGTGGAAACGCAATCCAACCCGATGGGGGGACTTGTGCAACGACACCGATGGTCGAAACTTCCGTGGTCGCCGGCAGCACGACGACAATGCGGCTCGCAACGAGTCATCGATGCATGCCGCAGCTCAGAGTTGCAATTATTCCTTCGGAATCTGTCGGTCGGCTTTCTAACTCGCTTCTATCATTGTCCGTGCCTTACGAGCCGAATCTACTCGTTCTCGTTCACTGCGCTCACCGCTTCACGCTATTCACCGGGTGCTCTTAAGGTTTCGAGATTTGAGGGATTAAACATCTTGCAACGGTAATTTTTGATGTTGTAGTTCGTTATTAGTTTTATGATTAACCTAACTAGCTATTATTCTTTCCATTTAAGCACGAAGACCGACTCGGACAAATTTTATCTGGATTGAACGATCAAAGAAGGAGTTGGAGAGGAATCACAAACAGACGGCAAAAAGAGAACTCTTGAAATGAGTTTATGTTTCAATGTAGCATTTTTAATAAAAAATGATTTTATTTATGAATCTTAAATTCATTGCACTAATTTCTGCAATGTGAAATTATTTGATTACAATAAATTTATATTAATTGAAGTATTTGTTATGAATAATAGGTAAAACATAATGAAAATGGGCAATAACATAATATAAATCATGTATCACAACATAAAATGTATCATGATTCGAATTTTACATTCTTAACGAGAGCAAGACATCTTCGACAGAATACCTCTTCTGGGGTGTTGGAAAGGTTAAGAATGACTGGATTAGGCGAATGCCACCCTGTTGCTCTCGTGGGGCCTCGGTGAACGGAGGAAGCAAGTCATCCTTGGAATCGGCACGTAGCAATTTCGCGCGTCGTTTTCCCATTGATTCGCGCAGAGAGAGAAAGGGGACCCGCTTCCGTGAGTCGCGTTCTCGTAAACGTAATCGAATTCTCGGCTCCTTTTTGGCAAGATCAACCACTCGAGCTATAGAAAGATCGACCGATTTGGTCGACGAACGGCAAATCCTTCCACGTTTCGCGAACCCCTCGTTTCGTTCAACGGTAGAGGAAACGTCGTTCTCACGGTAATTACGACCGATCTTCGTGATTAACTTATCATGAGCCAAGTGAATTGTTTAAGTGGCCCGATATCTAGGAATCTTTATAGCTTTGGCAGCGTTGCGCTCGATTTCGTTTAGTTTGGGACGTCTACTGCTATTAGTGGCGAATCACTTATTCAAATCATTTATTTGTTTTTTATTTTTGTACGAAATTAACTTGTTGGGTTGATTAACAAGAGGTATAATTCAAAATCGTTGCGGTCTGAACGAGCTTCGTTAAAAGGTTCCCAATCTTAGAGACAAAGAAATGCAAAGAAATTGATGATAATTAAAGAGAAAAGTATGTATGTACAAACAGTCCCATAAATATTTGTATCCTCTATGTCTATTGAAGACATTTGTCTAAATTAAATGATAGGTTTGATGATCCCGAATAAATATTCATTATAAACGTATATATGTGAAAAGTTTGTTTTTGTAAACATTTATCATGAAACATTTATTTGAAAACATCAAACTTATCATTTAATTTAGACAAATTTCTTCAATAGATATAGGGGGTGCGAATACTTATAAGACTGACTATACATAGAAAAAAAATTACGAGTGAATAGTAACATCTTGAAAACAGACTAAATAAATCATGTTGAAAAGAAGCATCAGAGGCTAAACTAATTTTTAGTATCCATGTGGAACTTCTGTTACTTTATATATCTATACTTTCCTCGTTTTCTATCTGTTCGAAACGATTTAAAAATGCTCAAGAAGTGATGTAAATGAATATTAATTGAGTAACAGTATCCAATTTTCACCAGTAAGCGTATCACGAATTCCTAAGACTGCACGTCGCGACAGAGCCGGATAATAACGTCGATCACGGATTCCTAGATCCCCGAGTTCCTCGAACTCGTGCAAACATGGCCACAGCATCCGGCAGCGTGCAGCACGTTAACTATCCTAATGGATTAAAATAGATACGGGACTATGCATCGGGTCAGCGCGTCAATTTCGTTATCACGACTCTTCGAACGAACGTGCGCTTATTTTTTAACCCGTTTGAGCCCGATGATGCAACGTACGTCATTCAATACCAATCCAAGAGAGGCAATGGTACACCAGAGGTCTTGAATAGAATCTAATTCGTTATCTACTATGTTTTAATTTACTTCTTATTTTTATTACATTCAAAGAATGTGTAAATAACCTGTCAAAAATATGCCACAAGAGGAACGCCCAAACATTAGTTAACCCTATCACACCTGGCGTCCACAATTGTAGAAACAAAATTTTTAAATTACCGACATTATCGTTTAGGGCGAATGTTCTTATTTGTGCACGTGAAGAAAAACCAGTTTTCCGCAAAAACTACACTATTAGGATTTTCTACATAATTTTTTCCATACAAATTTTAATCCAAGTTAATCCTAAAAATTAAATTACATTAGTACGAGAAAAAAAATAATTTCGGTTTGAAAGGACCGAGGTATTATCAAGAGAGAAACGATGAATGAAACGGAAGGTCGATGCCGACGAGGGATGACTAACCAATTGCGTGAAACCTACGATTGGTAACTGGAGCACGATCGCAGAACTGCCTTCGATACCTTAACGTCGTTAAAGCGATGGTTGTATTGTAACTGACTCATTCGTTAATAAATCGAGTCGCATGTCCGCGAGCGCAACGTGACCGCAGGCGACTACCGATCCGCGAATCGACGATAACATCGTGACGTTAAACGAGCAGATTTCTTTGTGCAGACAGTTCCATGGGAGAAACTCGTTGCACGGTTTTGTTTCTTCAAACTCTATTAACTGTGTGGCTCTGTGGCTGGAGCTCTGCGTTGAAACTCTGCGGCGACGTTATTAACCTATTCAGTCTACATTGTAATGCACGTAGAGTTAAATATTGTCCGTATGCATACGAAAGCTTTCGAAACGTAAAATTCGTGTATCGATTTCTGATGAGGGTTCAGGCAGATTTTCGACGGCTCGAAGACGATGTTAATTCAATTTTTCTACACTTTCGCGGCAGCACGACGGAATAGCGCCGTTCGAAGAGACAATTCGTGGAAGACGGGGATTCAGTGACAGTAATTGGGGCTCGCGGACACAGTTTCTTCGGATGCAAATTGGAAATGCATAAAAGATGAAGAACACTGTACTGGACAAGATGTAAATGACTGCATGCAAATGTTGACTGATTGCAAAGTTGCAAGCGTTACATTATACCTCGAGTAATCTAGAACAACGTCGCGGCAACAAAACATCGACCCCCCTTTTCTCGCACCGAGACAAAGGGCAATCAGCTTATGCGTCGGTAAAAATTGAAAGCCCTAAACAGTGTAATACAACGAAGGCAAGAGCGAGGAAAAATGTACTCGCGTAGAATTTAGAACTCTAAAACGAGCTGGCTCGTAACGTGCCTGCGTGTCGAAGTGTTTGGTTAGTAGTATTTAAATAATTCTATTTTTATATAGTTGCAGTGGATAAAATCTACATTCAAGTATCTATGGTGCAATGCAGCGGGAACGGGTAAAAATGTACTCGCGTAGAATGTAGAACTCTAAAACGAGCAGGCTCGTAACGAGCCTGTGTGCTGAAGTGTCTGGTTAATAATATTTAAATAATTCTATTTTTATATAGTTACAGTTGATAGAATCTACATTCAAATATTTATGGTAGGTTAACGTCTAATAATAGTGGAAAATCCTCAACATTTTCAAATTCTGCTCCTACAATACTAGAAGATATACGAGTACAAAATCGTATAACGGGATTGTGTATTTAGAGATTATTTTGAGTCAAATGAACATTGAAATGATCTATACTTTCCAAATTATTGTGGCCATCAAACGAACCTAAGTTTAAATGAAGACAGGAAACCAGAAAAAAATGGTCCATAGCTTCCAAAGAAAAATGGTACCGGCGATAAGTCGGTTAAGATAAACGCCACACCCTGTACATCGCAAGAAACGAAAGCAACGATAGCCGTGTACGCAATATCATTTGTTGTCTGTTACACAGGAAGTGCACGTGAGCGCTGATTTCCCGATCACGGAAAAAGTTTCCATTCATTGTTCGGCGGCCCCGAAGAAGAAGCTCGCTCCTATTTGCGCCGGTTCTTTCAACGCGATGGAACAGAAGTTGCAAAGGAGGTGCGATACCTGTTGCACACGAGCATCGCGGGAACGAGTCAACCGCCGGATACGAAACTTAATGTTTCGGATAATGTGCCAGTCGACAATATCGCGTCGCGATCTCCTACCACTGCTTGATAGACATCCGAGCGCCGTTTTGGAAAGGAGTCTCAGTAGGGCACCATTTGCATCAGGAGACATATATGTACATTTCAAAGGTAAAGTGAGTAGAAAATTGTAGACGTTGTACTATTCGTTAAAAATATGGTTTGTCGAATGTGCGGAATGTATGAAAAATGTGATGACTATAATATAGGGTTTTTGTAGAATGAATTATATTTTCTTTAGTGTCAATGAAATCTTTGGTGGCAAATAATGCAAAGAGGTTCAGTATCATCTAACCTGAATCGTTATAGGTTTTATACTGAAAACCAACTTGAGAAATACATGTGCTCGGATTAGTTTTACCAGCGTCTCGGCGCCGCCCAAGTTGCGTCGTGGGACGAAACGAATCGTATAATCGATAGCACTGAAGCCTGAGAGAACCCTTGCGCGAACACTACGGATGCACAAGTCCACCGTGGTGTTTAGTTTGACTCTGTCGTTACTATATTTTACGCGAAGCTCTCAATTTTCGAAGGAACCGACCCATAAATTATAGTACTCTTTGTCGCTGCGTGTGGGCTCGCGATGCGTCGATCGCCATTGAAAGATACGGCTGGATTGTTTCCTCGGAGAAAGTTGCCTGGTATTTACCAGCCGTGCCCAAGTCTTTATGAAACATAATAAACCGGAAACCTGCTGGTGACGATCTCAAAAATGGCATTGTTCCCCTCGAACGCAGCGTAAACTCAGTCATGTGTTTCTTAACGTAAACAGCACGTCTTCGACAGGACCGGAAACTTTTCTAACAATGGAAGAAACTTTTACAGCCTTATTCCGTTATGCCATTCTGACGAGTATCGGTTAAAATACTTCTCGGAGATGCTTTCGAAAGGTTGCGTTTCCTCTGCGTCCTTTGTTGCGACTAGCGTTTGGAAAGTCCAAACAATGGACTCGCTACTTCTCTTATATCTGAATGTGTTGAATAATTTTGCTTCAGTGGGTAGCTGGGTTTAATTTGGAACTTCTAGCAGTGACTTGAGGCTAATCAGATTTCTATACTCGATGATGTCTTTTAAGGAACCAATTATGAAAGATAAACCGTTGTTGTCGCAAACATAACAAAGACCATAGACTCATCCTCAACCAAACATCTTAATCTTGGTTCCGAGTTCCTCACTCATCCTATACTTTGTACCCTTCCTTAATCATACTCTCCTTTGACCGCTGTCCTTAACATGACTCATCCTCCAAACGATAGAAAAGCCCGGAAAAACCTAAGAACCAGTCAGCATTCAATATGCACCGACACAGTTGCGACTTAGTTGTACAAATAAACAGCTTTGAGAGTTTCTATAAAAATCAGTGTTGTCAGTTAATTCCTTTCGGTAATCTAACACACTACTTTTATGTTGCATAGTAGAAATTTCATCGACAAACATAGGATAACATTGGCACTGCATAGAGTCTAGCTCTCTACCCAACAGCGGCGTTCCTACCGTCGCTATTACCATAGATAACCATCGCTCACTGCCATTAGGTAATTAAACCATAAACCACCACGTTCACGCCCTCGTACGCAATAAACGCGCAAAACATTCGTCGCTATCGATCACGAAACGCAAACAGGGTAAACGCGTACCTGGGCGCGCATCAGTTGCTGTTGCTGCTGCAGAAGCTTGGCGTGCTGATGTTGATCCACTTGATTAGGCGGCACTTGCTGAGGATGACTGCGAGCACCTGGTCCACCAGCGGGCTGGGGAACACCACCAGCAGCAGCGGCTGCTGCTCGCTGCCTCAGGCTCTGCTGGGTGAAGTTGATGGTCTGGGACTGCGAGACAGAACAATACGTGTCTGTCTGGCCACCAGGTCCTGGCTGATTCTGGCTCTGCTGCTGGTTGAAGTACATGCCCTGTTGAGCAGCCACGGTCACGCCAGGCTTCAGGTCACCGGTGAGCTGCATGTGCTGACCCGCGGACACCTGTGACAGAGAAAAGAACGTTTGAATTAGAGTTTGAATGATGTAATAGTAACACTAGGATTACAGAGATTTCTTATAACATTTCTATTGGTGAGGTAATGAGGGGTAATGAGTGGGTTCTCTCTTTATGTATGTTTTGCTTGTATGTTAAGAGTAGATTAAGCATATTTTGTACTGAAACTGTAAGTGGAAGTGGAGGCTATATAACCCTTAGGGGAATATTAAATAAATACATACTAAAGTAATGTTTTAATAAGTGAGCTCGATTTACCAAAATTAATTAGGAGGTTTAGACAAAAATGAATTTGTATGCATGCTTGCCTTTTTGTATATAGACAAAAATCAGCATGAGCGTTTGGCAAAAAATAGAAACGGTTTCTGTAAGATCTGGTAAAATTAGGGATAGGTCAAAATGACCGCAAAGCTAGTATTAAATACAGGTTGAACAATTGAACAGATCATGCATTCTGTGCACCGTGTAACCCATTGACGAGCCCTGGTATTAACATCTCCTTAACCCTTTCGCCACAAGAAAGACGCGCATGTCCGACGCCGGTGACAGCGAGTTTTATTGGCTGTTCCAATTGTTCAGCATCCCCCTTGGGTTGTAAGCGCAATACGAATCGCTCTGTTACGTATGATCCACGGTCGATGGTAGATCGGATCGAGCGGTGCTTTTCATGAAGGCCACGAAGCCGAACAACGGCTCGCCGCAGGCGGCCTGGAATTCGGTTTCTGGCAAAAAAGCAGCGGACAAGTGGCGACTATTGTCCTGTCATCGCTCGTATCGTAGGCAATGATACAAAATGGCTACCGTTCTTCAATATTTCATCCAGCAGCCAAGGGAAAAAGGACTGCACCGTGTGGGGAAGGAGGAGACCAAGACACGACCAGGGGACCTCTACGGCTTCGATGACTCTTGACCTCCAACAATCGAGTCGCGGTAATCTAGTCCGAGTGTCTGCATCCCCTCGCCTGTTTTGTACGCTCGAATGAATGCCACAATCCCTTAATGGCTCCTTGTAACGAAGTTCTTATCCTTGTTACATCGCTAACGTACGCCTCGAACTCCGATCCACTCTAACGCAATGAACACACCTGCGATAATTGACCTTCACGAAAAGCAAACAGATCCACTCTTTCGTATATCTCCCAATTTTAGAAAATATTTGTTGTCTAGAATATTACGCAGTACTAGGTTTATCATGTTTTCCATCTCATGATAATTCATACTATTTCGTACAATCGCTGGATTGCAAATTAACTTGGAACGACTCATCACCATCGAATCAAGGAACGATGAATTCCCCAGCCTGCGAGTGAATTTCTATAGCGAAGCGTCGAATAATGAGGGCTTACGACGTTCCTCGTTGGCCTCGGACCACTTATTGGTCGTCTCCGCCAGTCCTTTGTTCGTACGCACCGTATGGAGATTGCCGATCTGGTACCTCGTCGGCACCGCATTATAGCGAACAACTTATGACCGATGTGGCCACCTAAGTGTCACAAGGTCTTGTGTGCAAGCTGTGCATAATCGAGCCAAACCTCGATCGTTTTCTATAAATATCAAAGTCTAACCAAACACATTATAGAATTTAATCACTAAAATACTTTCCAGAACTGAAACTCTCTTCTTTAAACAATTCAACTTGATTACAACAGCAGTTGAATCGCCCTAAACATTTAAGTTGCTCGTTCCCGTTGGAAAGTACGAGAACGAATAAAGGATAAGGTACGAGACAGGTCTGGCCACGGAGATCGTTCCAGCCAGCAGTCGAGGCTACCCAAAACCGTGCACGTAACGCGCATAGAGTGTCCTCGCGGAAAACGAGCGGGCGAGTTACGTGTTCGCCGGAGAATGGCTGGGGTGGCGCGACATCAGGGGCTTTTAGTTATGACGCCTAGAAGGAGAATCCTAGTCGGCCCTGGTCGTGCATAATTAGCCTAAATCACGGGCGTTCCGCTGGGAGCTCCTAGCCGCGGCATCTGCATAACGCGTGTCTTATTATCTTCTGCTGGGAAGGGATGACTTTTGGATAAAACGATGAGTGTAGTCAGCGTTCAAGAGTTTCGAAGCCTCGAAGGTAAGAGAAAACGACTTATCAGCGACTTGGGTTCACATATTAACTCTGATCTACGTGTGGATTAGCATGTTCTTGACTCGAAAGTTTGTTTAATATACAGATAATATTGATTTAGAAACTTTACAGAATAGTACATTATAGAAACAATAGTCTTCACTGAGCTTGACTCTGGTTTCCTGAGAAAATTTTCTCTTGAGTTAGTTCTTACTGCTGGAGTCGAATGCAGCACCAGGTGTTAGTCTAGAGCTCTGGACGAACCAACCATAGATCCATGGATCTTCCACGGACCAAGATGCTTCGAACGAGGCTATTCGGATGGGAATACTAATATGGAGAGAGGAACGCTGGTCAGCGGCCTTCTAAGGAACGCTGGACACTTTAACGCGCTCGAGCTACCTGAGACACTGCTCGTTGACGTTAATTTTATTCCTTTCCACGTGGTCTTCGTGTTCCTCTCATTGTTGGCGTGGGAAGATAGCGATGGGTAAATGCATTCGCAGCGTTCGATGCACTCATTCGCGACCCCGTGCACGGCTTCGCCATGGGATCCGATGGGAGGTGGTGTTAGACAGGGTTAAACGTTGAATGTCGTGGAGCTTGCCAAGTAGATTGCTCGAGAGGACGACTTGGTGAGCTCTAGTAGCCTATTGCGCGAATACGGTACATCGTACGGTCAAACATCATCTATTGTTTTCCATTTTTCCGCAGAATGGCGGACGTTACGCGGAAGCGATAATATTCACGCGTCGAGAAACGCAGAACAAAAGAAACGATATTTCTCGAGGCGTAACGTAGGAGCAGTTTTCATGAATCGAGTATTCGAGGGATTTCCAATCACGATACAGCGCAATCAAGCGCTGTTAATGATGGCGCCGCCATTAGCGATCGGCGTCGGTTCCCGGAACGATTTTCAGTGTGTCTCTGCAAGCGAACTTATCGATCGTTTGCCGCCAGTTGCCATAAACGCGTATCGCTGGTGCACGCGTCGCATTCGCGGGCGGCAGACGCGTGTGTTTCGCATAATCGCCGTCTTCTGTTATTATGTACCTGTGCGCCAGGCTAGCTGCGCGAAACGGGTCACCGAACCTGTTACACTGACAGTTGCGGTAGGTGTGCCAAGTATCTGAAATTAGAGGTCGTGTCAGGTATTAATTATGAATTACCCAAGCTGTTAGTGCCGTCTCGTGTGATTAATAATATCCATTCGTGTCTGCGATTGCGAACACGACGCTGTATCGATCTGGAGAACGCGTACGCGTGGCCTCAGAATCCTGACAGGATGCAAACGAGGTTGACTCGATTCGTCTTTGGAAGTTGTGCCTTCGTAATATTTTAACATGGAACGTTTCGCATTGAGAATTGGTCGAGAAGTTTCCTCCTGCATGATTAACTTCTATTTAGGTCGCTGGATGACCAGCTAGCTGGTCTCGCTACTAGGTCTTCAACTTCTCTCGCTGAGTTTCGTTGAAGCAATAAGAATCCCATCGACCCCATCGAGGCAAACAAAAATTTTCCTGATTGCAGTATTGAAATCTTACACAGGGAATCGGTTGGAAAGTTTCCTTCTCTGCAGGTAACTTCTATTTGGGTCGCTGGATGGTCAACTGATCCGATGCGGAGTGTCCGTCTACCCTGAACGTGTTTGTTTAGCGTCTTGATGCATGCCTGGATGTCTCCGTTCGAATATCAGCTCTGTTTTGCTTGCGGAGTATGACTTTGACATCAAAGTTAACATCTGCGCGCTACTTGCTGTACTTTGCATCTAGAAAGTGGATACCTCTTGGTCACAGTTCGAGACATGTTGACGATGAACTAATTCTCCGAGTGCGAGTCTTCTTATGCCCTTACATTTTAAATCTAGGCTGCAGCGAAAGTGATCCTTACATTTTTGTAATCTTTCTTTGCTAGTTAAAGGACTTGCCAGTCAAATTTCCACAAAGTCATGTTTGGTAATAAAGGATTAATCTAGACTACATACAATCATTGAAACAATGGTTTGAATTAATCTGAACACAATTTTCCAAATCAAAGCAGCATTGGATGCCATCTCTATAGTCCCGAGATGCTGGCTATGGGTTGCAATAAGGAACGGATGGCAGCGCGGCCAACGTAGAGATAAATCCATCGTCATTAGCGCGTTGCACAGAAGCGCGATGCTGACGACGAGACGGTGAGTCACGCGTCCGCGAGGAATCGCGTTGTGGCTAATATCGCAATGCTGTAATCGCTAATCATAGCGCTCGCGTCGTTGCCCATGCGTTTCATCAGCGAAAGCAGTCTTGCGAACATGCTCACCGAAAGATATACAGAGGATGGGGAGAATTTAGAAAGCCAACGCTCTGGTCTTCTGGTCTTCGATCGTTACCAAGTTAGAACGATGGAATGGCTTAGGGAGCAAATGGTGGAGATTCTTGCTGTAAGATTTTTGCTGACCTCGGGATATAGAGTATTGCCAGATAAACCGCAGCAGAAAGGCGCTCTGTACCACAAAATCAGGTTAATCTTTGGTTACAGTTTGGTTCTCTAACAATGGATTCTAACGAAAACGAAAGATGAAATCATAACACCGCGACATACGTCATTTGAAATCCCACTCCAGGAAAAGTGCTTCGCATTACAACTCACAATTGACGTATTCTTCCAAAGCATGACAATACTCTTAGCGAGAAATAGCTCTCATGACTCAACTGATACAGTGTTTATAACCTTGAGAATATATTCCGTCGACACGAAATATCTAATAGACGTCACCGTGTTCACCAAGATCGTCGGAACCACAAAAGCCTACGTTTGTTCGGATGAATCACCCAGACGTTAAAAATAGTGCAGCCTGCGCGGAAGTTATGCGACATTGACCAACGCTGTTACTTAACGACGTTCTCGATGAATGAATTTCGAGTCCAGTGTCGCGGAAAC